TGTTTTTCTCTTATTATTATTATTTCTGTTGTTAAATTTAAAACAAAACTGATTAATGATATACGAGTACTACACCTTACACATATTATATACTACAATAGTATCGCATAAAGTTGTACATTTTAAAAAGCTTAATAATGGTAGTGTTTACTGTTAAGGTAACTACTGCTCAATAATTTTTAATGCTGAAGAAACCGCGATCTTCATTTCCTTTGATAGAATCCAACATAACAGCATATTATAAGTGATTATAAAAATTCTTATAGAATTTTATTAATGCAGTAATTTATTCATAATTAAATAATAAGTAAATACATTTTTAAAATTGTAAATAAAATAAATAATGACAGCAATTATTTTCCTTTTAAATTTACATTGCCCTTTACTATTCCCAAATGTACAAAGGCAGTAAAGTTATTCTTTTTCTTTACACTCATAGGACGCTTTTTTATTTACTTACTCTTACTTACTTTCATATATTATTGTGTTCGATCTACGCTTAATCATTTGATAATTACAATTTAATGTATAAAATAATAATTCATGTAAAAATAGAACATAATATATTTTTAATTTTATATTCCAAAGAATAATATTTCTTTGAAATATTTAGGTGCATAAAAATTGATGTTGCAAAGAATAATTTAAGAGTTATAAATATTTAATTTTTAGATGATTGGTGAAGTAAACTAATAGTTTTCAAAATAATTTTTTACTATTCAAATCATTTCATCTGACCTATCCTAATTCTAATCTTATTTGACTGTAAATAGTCATATTTACATATTATACTCGAAATAGGTAAAACAATTTTAACTTAAATCTAAAAAAAAAAAAAAAATATATTACTGTATATATTTCAGCGAAACTGAGCAATAAATAAATTTATTAACGTGAAAAGTTAAAAGAATTTGCAAATATGTCATATTTAGATTCACGTAATATGAAATATATAAAATATTGGTTCATATAATTAAAAAACCGTAAGCTATAAGTTAATAAATATTATAAATTTTTTTACAAATATCCAGAAGACAAATAAAATAATATACTTTGGTAGGTTAAGAGTAAAAATGTTTTTTACTTTTCAAAATAACCGATAAAAAAGCTAGAGTAGGCAACAACTCTGCTGTATAGTTGGTGTCAAGTGTACCTCATCATTAAGTAAGTCACTGTAATGGGTGTGTTAAATGATAATTGTTGTTAACAAAAAGCAATTTTAAGTGAACACCACTTATAAAAATCTAAAAAAAAAAAAAATGAATCATTCCAAATGACTACAAATATCTCAAAAAGAACCAACATATTATAAATATTTTATTATAAATATTATATAAATATTATTATAAATATTTTATAATATGTATAAATTGATAATATAAATATTTGGTGAACATTTCAGCTATCTACGGATATTTGATTTTGAATTATGACAAAATATCAAAAATTGTTTAAGGAGAAATAGTTACTTTACAAAAGATTATCCCATATCGTAAAAAATAAACTTGAAACGCTTATAAAAAAAATAAATATTACTTTCTAGTAAACTTAATTTTTTTTTTATGAGAGAAACTTATGAAGTATCTCATATTAAGTTTTAAAATCTTAGATAAAAAAAAAAATAATGCTTCATAAATTCATAACTACGAAATTCTACAATATTTTTTCGACTACTTATGACGAATATACAATATACGAAAAACAAATATAAAAATCTTCATATTATAAAATCGTTAAATTTAAATTTACTCAGTATCAAACAATGTTGGCACTTTTGAAAATAACTGGGACCTGCTTAAAACATTTGTTGATACTATATACTGCAATGATTTCTTGTTCAATTTAAATTTAACACATATATTACAGTGACTTCCTGAATTATTAAATGCACATGAGTCTCCGAAACTTATACTGTATTTCAGAATGATAACCTACTCAACCACTTTTTTATATAACTGTATAACTTATAAATAATTTTTATTTTGTAATTCTTAACTAAATTCACTAAGTTTAATGTAAGATGGCTTCAGCAAAATAATAAAGTTATGTTACGTGAGACGCTGATAAGGTATAGAGTGTGTATATTATAATACAGTACACATAGGTGTTCTGAAAACTCATGAGTTAGTCAAAACCTTAATATGCTTTCAAGTTATCTTGAAATAGAATATAATTAAATCTAAGAATTAATTATAGTTGTATACCTACTACAATATATTAAATTGAGTTTATATTGTTCTACAATTTTTTTTTCATGATAAATTTTCACAGTGCAATATTAAATTATTAAATTTAATTTAAAAATCTAAATTAATAATATCTCTTCATTAATTTGACATATGACATATATGTTTGTAAATTATGATAATTTAATGCTGTTAAGACATCTATAAATTTTCTTTATCTAATCATTTATACTTTGAATATCATAATATATTATTATAATATATAAGGTTATAATTTATTTCTGCATTACAAACTTGATTTTAGAGAAATATGTTTTGATGATTGGTTATCATGTAAAAAACAGAAAATATAATTTATACAAAAATGTTTTAGTTAGTTTAAGCAATTTGAAAAAAATACATTACATTATTATTTATAGTATTATTATTATTGCTTTGTACAATCATCTCCAAAACCGAATAATATAAACAATATGATTTTCAAAAATAGATATTTAAATTTATTTTTGAATATATCTTTTACAAAAAGAATTATTTATTATAATTTAATACAATATGACTGATTTTTCTCTGTGCGTTAAAACAAGTATTCAACAAAATATTTTTAACTCAACTTTTAGTCATGATGGGTTGTTAAATATAAATATATACATCGTATATTTGACGGTATTTTATGTAATATAAATTTGAAAAAAAGTTTTGAACTTTAAACCTTTTAGATATAGATACCTAAGTATGAATAGATAATATTTTATTTTTCATCTATCACATTATAATATAATATGAAATGATATTGATAATTTTAAATTTAGCTTTGTATAAATAAAATTAAAATTTCAATAAATTATCATCATATTAAAGTTTTAATAAAAATTAACAAGATATTTTCAAAACAAATTTTCATTAATAAGTTTTGATTAAAAAAGTTATTTTACAGTTGTGTACAATTCAAATTTATACTGTTAATTAAACAAGTGTCTAAATAAATAAAAAAAAGTTGCTTTTTGACGACTTGAATATTAGTTTTAACATATTTAAAAAAAGTGTTTATGTATATTTTTTTCAGAATAATTATAATATTGGAGAATGATATTTTACAATATTTAAACTTTAAAGGTATATTCATATATTATACGACTATTTATTCTATTTTAGTAAAATACATTATTAAGGATGCAAATACAAGCACAAATGTAGTATGTCAAAATTGAAGCTTAATACTTTAATGTAAATATTACATCGTAGGTAAAAGTATGATCAATAAAAAGTAAAATATCTATATCATAAACAATTGTGAACTTGATAGGAAATCACGAAATCCAATTCGCACAAACGAATAATAATAATAATAATAACAATAATAATAAAAATATATCCGACTTATTGATTGTAGTTTTACTCTCGGGTGCTATAAAAAAAAAAAAAAAAAAAATGGCGAACAGCCAGAAACTCGAAAAATTTTGAACGATTCCAGGGACTCGAAATAGTTTAATGCACGCATCAAAAGACACGAAGGATCATTAAAAATTGTATTTTTTTTTTTTTATCGCCAGCAAACCTTTTCGATCTTTTTCTTTGTGTGCAACACACGTACTATATATAGTATTATTATTATCTAGCTGATTATTAACCCGACACTGATTTATCCATGTAATTAGTTTCAATTATCATACTGCTATTCCCCAGTCTTTGGTTGAATTTTGGTCAATCAATACAAGACGATTTACTGATTTACTGTGTTAACAGTAGCTCTCGGCAGCAATGACAACGTTTATTTTTTATCACATATTATTGTATCTATAAAAGTGTGTGTGTACATGAGTATTTATTTAATTATTTATATTTTTTTTGAAATATAAATTATCTTTACCGATAGTATACATTACACATTTATAATTTATAATTTATATTTATACATTATTAAACATTATAATGTTATATTCCTGTAGCCATATTTAACCAAAACATTTCTTATACTTATACTTTTTTTTTTTTTTTTTTAATTCTATATGTACATATGTACATGTTAAACAACTTTATATTTTTCCATAACGTATTAACGTATTTCTATAGTTCAGTTAATATTATATGTTTGTTTAAAGCCTTACGAAATATTAAAAAATAACAAATATATTATGATATAACTTAACGTGTGTGCTTCCTTAAAACGCATGCTTATAAAACAATATTTTATTATTGGAGTATGTGTTATCTTGAGAAAAACGTATTCTCTGACACATTACCGTCAACGTAATGTACAACACTTGGACGTGTTAAGTCGCAGCGCTTGTTCTTGACTTGAACCCATCTGTCCCCAACTTCATGGTCGTCAAACACCACACGAGGTACATTCCCCCCTTCCCATCCCCTTAATCATCGAGCAATATAACTTCTTCACCCCGTGACGACAACGACAACGACGAAGATGTTGTCATTGTTTTCAACACGGGCTGTGTCGACCGATTTCATTCATCATCAAGTCTACTCAGCGCGTAGCAAACCTACGACAATACTAGTAGAGGTGTATAATATATTATACTCAGTACCCGCCACAAGCATAATAGGTGTTTGCACTTAAAAACCGGGAAAAAAATTGAAAGACGAAAAGTATAGGGAAAAAACCTCAAGAAATAATAATAAAAGCTTACTGCCCGACCGAAAAAAGAACAAAAATAAAACACATAATGTATAATATATATATATATATATAACCGAAAATCCCACGTTTTCAACAGATGGCGCGGGAATTCACTGACAAAGTGCTTGCGCGTTGTTTCGACCTAGGATACGGTCGCTCAGTAACGTTCAGATAACGGTAAATGCCGCAACGGTCGTCGGACAACTACGTTTAATCGTGCGCTCGTTCGTGTCGTTTGGCGGTTTATATTTCCGTACGCCGTTTTCGTATCTTTTTTTGAATTCTTTCGTCATCCTTTTGATATTATACAACTATACTTTTCACAAAGTATTATTCCAGTCAATCAGCTTTGCAACTGCTATCGTTGCAACTCGTAGGATCCACCGTCTCTCTTACGTAATCAATACGTAAGTTACTTAAAATATATTATAAAAAACGTGTACAGTTAATATAGTCATATGGTATTTATATATTTTTAAATAACTATATATTGAGTGTAAATTGTGACGCTCATAAAAATAATTGCAACACTTGTAACGATCGTTGTTAAGTGGTTTTAGATTTTAAACCATCTTTGGCACCCGTATTTTAAAAAATAAATATTATTTGGAAATGAGTAAATTAAATTATAAACTATCTTATCTCACGATGATAATGGCGATAAATAACACCACAGTATCACCAGCTAGAAAGGTTTCGATAATTTTAAAATATTGTGATATTGTGTGATGAAAAACAGGACAAATTCAGCTAATTTTTAGAGGTTCAAATTCTTCATTAGCATTAAATTCGGTATAATAATAAATTTCAATGATACTTCAAAAACAATAACATCATTTAGTAAGAATTAAATAATAATTAATAATTATAATATTGATGATAATAGAAATACGATAATACATAATACCATTGAGTATATACTTAATGATATACTCCTAAAATAGGCGTAATTTTGGAGCACCATTCAAACATTTAATAAAATAATATTTTAAAACATAATCATGGTTGATTATTATTATAATTTTTTTCCTCATATGGGAATTTAATTTTTTTACACGAATGTTTAATATTTGTTATATTATATGCACATAGTACTCCTGATTAATTATGTAATACAACACTAATACTGAGAGTAGTCGAAATCTTACTTTAGCTATTAATTATTGTATCATGCTGATATCTTGTAAAATGTATATTATAAAAATTTAATAAGCCGTAAAAATGTTAATTTTTTCCGAATATCACGATGGTCTGCATAATTATTTATTAATTATTATTTTAAAATATGAATGGTGTAAATTTTTTTTATTTAGGTGAGTACTGCTACTGATTGAGATATTAATTTTATATACTCTATACAAATTAGTTTGATACAAGAAATTATAAAATTAAAAATAATTCTTTGTATACTATGTGTTATTTATAAAATGCAATCGGTTTCTTAGTTAACGTATGATATATAATAAAAACTATTTTTTAACATACAAATGAAAATGAGATCTTTTAAACAACAATTGTTTTAAAAAATAGGTGCTGTAAAGTTAGTAAAATATAATATATAATATTTAATATTTCTAAACTAAAAAAAAAAAAAATACCTTTATTTTATATTTTATTATAATATTTTCTGTTTTGATAAAGTTAGGTTAATTTTAATATTTCCATACAGTAGACGGCCATTATATGTCTAATGCTTTAGGATAATTTGTTTACAAAATTGAGTTTTATTTTTGAAACATATATTGTGAACATTTTCAATAAAAACAATAAACTAGTCTATAATATTTTGAAAAATTGAATTTGCATAAAAAGAAATATTTGATCAAAATATTCGATCATATATATAATACTTTTTGTTTTTATAATAAATATATTTATATAGTATAATTAAAATTTGCCTGAAAATATGTTAACTGATTTTTACGTAATTAATACATAAATTTATACAAGCTTAAACTTGTAAAAACAATATTATTTAGGGGACATTTTTCATTGATAAATTGCTACGAAACTTAATTATATATATTTCTTAATATAAATTTAAAAAAAATGAATAATTAATATAAATTGTCAATTTACGGTAATACGCAATTTAAAATAAAAACATTTGATATATTCATTAAAGCAATACTAAAAATTATTAATAATTTCAGCATATTAGTTAGTTTGTAATTTAAAATAAAAATAGTTAATTTGATTAAAAAATATATGTATTTTTTAAAACACCTATTAATGCTTATAAACTATAAAAACGGAGAAAAATAAATTTCTCGTTTCATTTTAAAGTATCATTTATAAAAATAATACCTACTAAATTTAAATCAAATGAAAATTTATTAACGTTTTATTATATTATTTCAAATATAATTAACATTAGTAACAATATTTATAATGTTAATGTTTCAATATTTTAAGATATCTATGAAAGATCATTCAATATTACTTTCACTATTTATCATATAATATTTTATTTGAAAACAGTTTAAGTAATAATTATCCATACCAGAAAATATTTTGGAATGGCAAAAACCAAAATTATTTATTTCTAACTAAAATAAAGTGTGATTTTTCTCAAAACATAATTATTAAAATTGCATGGTGTGTAGAAACAATTTTATGAAAATATATTTTAATCTTCTTAGATAATTTTATAAGATAAAATTTTAAAAATACCTATGTATAAAGTAAATCAACTAAATTTATGTACAAGAAATGTTATAGTTGTAATATTTTTTTTAAATTAATGAAAATAAATATGTTATGATATTTAAAAAAAAAAACACATTAGTTAAGTGTTCATACATATGTATAACTTTATGTAGGTGTAATTTTTCTGTTAATTTCTTGATTTTTAATACACCGAAATAAATTTTTTTTATAAGTTAAATTTTAATCTACAATGAAATGGTATATATTATATACATACTGTCTATTTGACTAGGTCAATGAATAATACATACATTAATTGTCTAATTACATTTTTTTTAATATTTAAACATATATTTATTATAGCTCTATACAAAATATTTAAATCATAATTATACAATGTTATTATTGTAATAAAATAACTATTGTTATATATAATTATACGCAACCTTGTATACAATTTGATCTGAATTGAAAAATACTATTTTGATTGTTATACAAAATAGTATTTATTAGTCTTATAGATAAAAGTTAAAGGTTACTCAACAGCTATAATGTTTTATTTCGTATAAATGCTACTAACAAACTACTTATTTTGAAGAAATAGCAGATACAATAAACCTATTTGTTTAGGGCACTAAACCAAACAACGCTCTTTAAAAGTAGCGGTATTCACGGTCGCGCACACTCACACAAAAATATATCTTTCATGAAAAATTTATTTTATTCCACATGAAGTATATGAAATTGAATGTTAAATAATCAAATATTTTATTTTAAGTATTGTTATCTGTTCCAATGATAATTTAGATAAGTAATAAAGTAAAATAATCAATAAACAAATCGACAGTAAACATTACAAAAATGGTATCCATACTACTATTCCTAATTGTATTAGATTTTTAGTTGTAATTTTATAAGTATTTTTAATTTTTACATTTATCAGTATATTTTTATCGTAAACTATAGTTATAACTCAACAACACAACATGATCTATCAGTAACTTTTTTTTTTTGATTTAGATATTTATATTGTTAATTACATACCGTAAAATTGATACTTAAAAAATTCATAGATAACTAATTCAGTTTGTTTATTTACAATGATTAAACATTATTAATTTGATAAGATTTTTTTTAGTTAAAAAGTTTAAACACAATTTTTTATAATATTATTTCTTACATACCTGTTAGTAAAAATAAACATTGTTTAACATTTTAAAATACTAAAAAATAAAATAATAAATTACCATTTTAGATGTTAATATTAAATATATTGAAAACACACTATTAATTAAATAACTTATGATTATTTTTAGTAAATAAGATATACATACAAATTAATAAGTAAGTGAATCTAATGAATTTCAATTAAATATTTGATATTTTTCATTTCAAGTTAAACTTTAATAACCACATAGGTACAGACGGTACAGTAAAAAAGGGAAGTCTTATAATAATTTTTGTTACCGTCGTTTTATTTTTGGTACGTAGTGACATTGAAAGCTATATACACTGAACATTCAATAAATCCAATATAGAACCAATTTCGGTAATTATTAAATATGCTGATGCATATGTTAATATGTGTCTGTCTTAAATTTTATGCAATCGTGTTCAGTGTAGAGTAATGATTATATTGACAAGATATTTAGACGGAATCTACTAAAGGTTATTTAAAATGAAATCGTACATAATACGTTGAAAATATCATGATATCATATCATTATATGCAGTATTTATTTATAAAATTATGAAAAATCCAATAAATTTATACCGGAAATAATTGAGAAAAAAGTTTTAAGACATGAATGGTTATCTGAAAAAATTATCTATACGTAAAACAAAGTTATACGATTAATTTCCGTTACAATATTTCATACTTTTGAAGAAAAAAAAACTTTTCACTTTGTTCAATCGGATGCTTTCGAGACTCAAGTACAGCAATAATGTGTAAATACATATTAAATGTATAATTGTGTATGCACCATGGAACAGGAAATCATTCTTTTTTCAATTGTTCAATTTTTACACTTTCCTTTAAACGAGAACTTTTAATTAAATTGATATTATTATTATATAACACAACGTTTTTAGTAAATTCGTTAGATAAAACATATTTTCTAACTATAAATTGTCTAAACAGTTCTTTATGATAATTTAGAAATTACAAATTTATAACAATTTTTATAAAAACCATTTTTTTTTCTTATTTATTCTGAAAAAAAAATAAAGAAATTATGATTTAAATGATTAATTATTGATAATACGAGTATGATAAATGTATGGTTTGCGATAAAATATATGTGATTTTTTTTTATCAGTCATCATATTTTATTTGCAACTAACTTCTTTAAATTTTTAACATTGAGAGTAAAATAGAAAAAAATTTAAAAAAAAAAAAATAGAAAAAAAGAAGAAATCCGACAATTTTCAGTTTAATCAAACTTTGTTAAAAACAAATCTTTTTTTTACAAATATTTAACTAATATAAATTAATAATATTAAACCACTGCCTTGTACTGGGATGAGTCATTTCGATTAGATTTGTCTAGTTTCAGGCGAATAGATACTCACTTATTAGCTGTTATAACATAAAATATCATGTTTATGTTTTTATGTTAATTTAATTTTTTTTTTTTTTTTTAATAAAATAATATTGTAATATAATTATAGTAAAATAATAAATTAGAAATATTAATTGAATTTTCATGAAAAAAAAAAATCTAAAAGAAGTGTTGTACAAGATTTATATTTATAG